ACGGCCTCACTGCCTGAATAAATCGCGTCGTCGTCCAGGCAGGTGGAGCCTCGGGCTCTCGTACCCTCACTGCTTCTGAACGGTGGTTTCGGGGCTCTCTCCGCCACAGCCTGCGGTGACATTGCTGCCACAGCCTGCGGTGACATTGCTGCCACAGCCTGCGGTGACATTGCTGCCACAGCCTGCGGTGACATTGCTGTTGCTGTCAATGTGCTTCACTGTTCCGTGGTAAAGATTCCTGCCTGGGACGTGTTTGCTTCGCTGTCCTGTTAAGTACGGCGCTCTTCTTGTTTCGTTTCAGTTCCAGCACTGAATTCAGCCAGGTCACTTGATCTTGCTATTTGTTTTACATAAAACATACTGTGGTATCAGCAGGGTGCTTACTGCCCTGTCGTGTCTTTAAGCATTTCTAGTTTTAGTGTTGCAGGCTGTCCATATAACAACCCACTTACATAAGCCTGCCTGCTTACCTGTGCACCTGAGCTGTAAACATCTTTGTTTTTCCTCACAAATTCAGCTAGTTCAGTGCTTCTAAACCATTCAGACTCAGTTTCTCTTGGAGCGTTGTGCGTTTGCACCACAAACTCTTAACAGTGAGGCTGCTGAAGGTGTTGTGGTTCACCACACTGCACACCTTGCTGTGTTCAGTTACTGGTTGTCTGTGGGCTGGGCTAGGAATTGCTGCATTTGTTTATGTCCGTGTGGCTCAGTTTTTTAATAGTTCCTAATTTGGCAATGACAATACAGCCTTTGCTTCTGCAGGTAAACTGTTGTGATTTATTTGTTCCTTGAGGTTTGTGATGAGACTTTTTTTTCTGGACAGCGTAGCTCTTCATGAGGTGAGACTATTTAAAAGGTAGAAATAGTAAAAATAATAGTTAGGCATAACACTTGAACACATGTCAGTATTCCTAGGCACTTGTAACATTAAACTCCTGTCCTGCTTGTAAAGACCTGTTCTCCTCATACATAACTCACTGGTCTTTGAGTATGAGCAGTTCTTAGTTATTTTCTGGTTAAAGTGGAATCTTAATGATCCATCTGTCTAATTAACAGTTAATAATAAACTGGCTATAGATTAATGAGCATTCTCATTGCTTGCCTTCATCCTGTAGCTGTTTACGTTTCTTTCTGTATGCTTTGAAACTCTATATTCTGCATCCATTAATGATTGTGTGGGATAAACAGCTGGGAAGGAAGCTCACCCACAGAATTTCTGCTCATCTGTTCTCTATCCTGGGAGATTTTCCCTATTAAATGTCCACATGGGACTTTACTTTTGATAGGGTTTATAATTATACTCAATTTAAATTTGAATTCTGGTTGCAGTTGAAAATCTATTATGAAGAATCTATTATGAAAAATCATGTGAAAATCATTTCTTTCTTTTAGTAGAAACCACCTTTGTTTCCGTGCAGCACTTAGCAGAGTAGGATCTGGGGGGGTCTGGGCTCTGCTGCATCACAGATATTACTACGGATTTCATTTGCCTTTTTTCAGTATAAAAACACACAGCAGTGTACATGGAATTGTCTTAGAGTATCATTTAAATCTCCTCACAGTGGCTTAAATCCAGACTGTTGCAGTAAGTTAACTTCTCTTTCTTCACAGGCTGCGTGCAGTTTCATCAAATCCCACGTGGACTCCAGCAGTGTTGATTCCCTCTTCTATGCTGCACAGTCCATCCACATTCTGTCTGGCTGTGAGGTGGGTTTGGAGCCCTGAGCTCTGAAAACAGCTGTCACCAAGGAGGGACTTACTCTGATCTCTTTCTTAGTTTTATTGTATGTGTAATTTCTACTTTAACTTTCTTTTAGTGGGTTGTACTCTGTTGTGTCTTAGGTAAATAACACATGGAGTGTCTGGGAGTACTCTGTACAAGGTAAAGTAATCCAGAGTCATTTTGAGGGAATGTTTCTTGTTTAAATGTTGGTGGCTAAGAAAAAAGGAGACAGCCCATTTTAATAGAATTCACAGCAGCTGTGTCAATTAAAAACTCTTTGGGCAGATGATAAACTGTCTGTATGTAAACCCTGTGTTCAAAACCAGCAGTGATACAAATGCAGCCCACTCTTGTTGAAGTGTGGGGGGTTGTCCAAGCCCCATTTTCCATCAGTACCACCGACTGCTGCACGGTGATGTGGTGCCAGGTGAAAGGCAGTTGCAGGTTACCAGGATAAATCTGAATTGTGGATTATCCTGACTAATTGATATTAGGAAGAAGTTTTTCACTGTGAGGGTGGTCAGATGCTGGAACAGGTTGCCCAAGGAAGTTGTAGATGCCCCATCCCTGGAAGTGTTGAAGGCCAGGCTGGATGAGGCTTTGAGCAACCTGGTCTAGTGGAAGGTGTCCCTGCTGATGGCAGGGGGGTTGGGACTGGAGGAGCTTTAAGGTCCCTTCCAATCCAAACCATTCTATGATTCTATGATTGATAGTTGACAGAATGCCTCGTTTTCTCAAGTGTCAATCAACATGTTCCCTGTGTTCTTCCTTAGGTTACCATTTCAAATGACACCAGGGAGCTGCTGCTTGCAGCTGTCAGTGAGGATTCCTCCATCACCCAGATCTTCCACGCCGTTGGGGCCCTGAGTAGCTTTGGCCTTCCTTTAGCATCTCAGGATGCACTTAGTGCTCTTACTGCTCGTCTTAGCAAAGAAGAAAATGTGCTGGCGTAAGTCTTTCAGATGGAAATGATTCACTGTTGCGTGTTTCTCCTCTAGGCTCTTGGATTTTGGAGTGAAGGGTATTTTAACAGTTAATTTTTGTAATACAGGTGTAGTAGAGTGGTTGTTTGTCCAGTTTGTTTTGATGTGTTTGTCCAGTTTGTTATTGTCCCTCTCAGGGAATGAAAAAAACAGTTTTGGGCTATTTTCTGTGTGATTTTGCAAATGAGCTTATGTATTCACTTTAGTTCAAGAATACTGATCAGTAAAGAGGACACATCCCAAAGAAGCCCCATCTTTTAAAAAGATTTACAACAATTTTTTGACTTAAAACCCAGCCATGGTCCCAAGTCATTTACAGCTGCAATAGGCTTGCTGCTCTTCTTCAGCCCCGTTGTTTGTAGGTTGGGATGCCTGTACTGTGAGGTGGAAAAAAATGTGCCACTAAGCAGAGGGAATCTTGGCATTTGTCACCAAAGAATTAAGTATTTTTACTGTGAAAGAAGAGAATAGAGATTTCCTTAAAAGCTAGGGAAGAAAGGGAAACTGGAAAACTTGCTTTGTTGATAAAAAAAAATGGATTCCTGGAAGCCTCAGTAGCAAGTCTGGGGATCTGTGCTGTGCAGGGATCAAAGTCTGATTTCTTCTCTGCCTTTGAATCTGAGTTTACAGCAGCACTGATGCAGCTAAAGTGGCATTCCCTAATTAATTCTAAGTTTCCACTCAATCACTTCAGCTTCATTGCCTTGAGTTAACCAAATGCAGAAACAGCTGGTTTACACTTCATTCAGAATAGAAACTGTAGTTGCTTTGATTTGAACGATTTTTGTCTTTTAAGGAAGGAAAATCATACAATGGTTTGGTTTTGTTTGTTCTTGTTTAAGAACCATCCAGGCTTTGGAGACGGCATCTTACTTGTCCCAGCAGGCAGATCTAAGTGGCATTGTTGAGGAGATAGAGGTAGGAACACGCTATGCTCTCTAATTATTCAGGAATTTATCAGACCTCTGTAATACTAAAAGATGTAATAATGTGAAACACAAAATGGTGAAAAACCAATCTGGCTAATTCCTTGCCTGCATGATGTGGGTTGGCTTGGCTCTTCCTTTCAAGCCAGTGTTTCTTCTGGAGTTCTAACTGTTTCACAGTGGGCTGAGACACAAAGTCATCACTTTTAAATAGAGTTAAATCCCCTAAAAGCTCAAGGTTTCTTTTTCTTCCTGTTTCTAAATGGCTGTTACAAATTACTTCAGTGATCCCATACAGATACTCTTGATTCCTGGTGTAACAGTTACCTTCTGTGGACCTAGTAGGATGCTATTTAAATGTTAATAACTCTTTCTATCAGGATCTTGTTGCTCGCCTGGATGACTTGGGTGGAGTTTATCTGCAGTTTGAAGAAGGAATTGAGACTACTGCACTATTTGTTGCTGCTGCCTATAAGCTGTCGGACCATGTGGGTACAGAGCCAGCAATGAAGGAGGTCTGTATCTGCCTCCTCCTCCCTCGTGCACTGTAGCTCACAAAGGATCTGCTCTCAGAGGGAATTCTGAGTAAAAGAATGTAGGAGGAAATTCCACCTTCAAGATCACACGCTGAATTTGGTTTGGTTGTGGTTTTTTTTTTACTTTTTCAAATGTACAGAAGGAAATTGCCAGTGAGGCTTAGTTTTTCTTTGTTTATTGAGACAAGCTGTTGAAAAAAACCCCCTCTTGTTTCAGAGTTTGTTCTGATATTTCACACTTGTCTAGCTCTTTACAGCGTTTCAAAGTGTTTTGCAGATGTTATTTACCTGTGAGGAAATGCAGGCACCCTAGTTCAGAGTGCCCAGAAGGGAGATGGCATCAGTACAATGTGCCTACAGAAATCCAGATGGAAAAACTTGTCTAAATTGAAAGACTGTTGGAAATTCTTTTTGAGCTTAATTAAGGTAGAAATCATTACTGCAAGCTATCCACTTAGTATTTTTTTTTTTTCCACAACAAGTTAACTGAGGTAGATGTACTTTTGATTGAGAATGGCAGCTCCCTGAAGCACAAGCCAAAGTGGCAGGGTTGAGACAGAAGCCAGTGTAAGACATCTGAGTTCATTCCTGGCTCTCTTCCATGCTGCTGCCAAACAGACTAATGCAAAGTAATTTTGATGTCACTTTTGAGGTGGTGATTCTGCTACACACAATTCAAACTGTCAGCGTCCAAATGATGTTTAAAAAAAAAAGACCAATTAAGGAAAATTGTTTAGTATTGTTTCAGAATTGTGCTGTCAGAGTGCTTTTGTTTGGGCTTAAAACTTTATCTCTTGTGAATGGTGAGAGTGGCTCCAGAATGCCACAAAACTCTTTACAAATTAACATGTAGTATTTGAAAAAATAGCTCCTCCCTTCCCTTCCCCCCCTAATTTAAATAAGTGTCAGTTGCTGATTAAGATCTGGACCTGTGCCATGCCCTGCATATAAAAGAAAGCCACTGCAGGATTTGTGCTATGCAGGAGGTCAGTAGCATCTCTCTGGATGCTTTCTCTAGTTATACCATGTACATTGGTGCTCATTAATACAAGTAAGAGAGTGAAAATTTTGAGATGCAGCGGATTTCATTTAAAAGTGTTCTTTTTAGGTTGATAAATTGTAGGCCTGTTGCTTTATTTGAGATTGTCTTTGATTATTCTCATTTCTGATTAGAATTTAGCCCACAGTCCTTTGGTTGGATCAAAGTACAGGTAACCAAACCAGCTGTTTTCCAGACTAGCAGGGAGTAATGGAAGAATCTGGGTAATATGACATACCCTGCAGAGTGTGGCTCAGGTACACTCACCCTACAAAGTCAGACTGCAAATCCAGCTGGGGGATGCAGTCCCACTCCTACTTTGGAGAGACCAAATTAGCTTTGGCACATCCCAGAGACAGAACTGGCTCAGTGCTCCCAGTGGTACTGCTTTAATCCTCTTAGCTTGAGGACACTGCTAGGCCTAAGGGGGATAAGCCTGTATGGGCCTGGACTGACTCTTTCCAGAGCTATTAGGATGCTCTGCATCATCTCTCTGTGGCCTTCCCAGCTTGGCTAGTAGCCAGGATGTCTAGCCTAGTCCTTCTCCACTGTTATGAAGACAGTTGTACGGCTTCTGGAGCCAAATTGTCTTTTTGCAGCTGCATGCAGCCCGGGTAGTTGAGCTGATGACATCTTTCATTCTGAAACACATAGTTTGAAGAGGTAGATCCACATCCTGGTTTTGCAAGTTTTCAGCACAATTACAGCAGTTGTGGTTGGAACCTCCAGCCAAGAATAAGAATGCTAATGTGATGTTCAAAAGGTAGCTAATTTGGGGTTACCTCATAACTTGAGTTATTTTTAAAGCAAATGAGAAATTAAACAGTCTTTGTGAATTATGTTTTTATTAATAACACTATACTGAGCCAGTGTGCAGTGTTGTGGTAAGCTGCTGTGATGTGCTTTTCCTCTTTCAGGATCAAATCATCCAGCTGATGAATGCAATTTTTAGCAAGAAGAACTTTGAGACACTCTCAGAGGCCTTCAGCGTTGCCTGTGCCGTGGGTTCCTTATCCCAGAACCGCTACCACTTGCCTGTCATTATTGTCCCCGATGGGCCTGCAGCTGTGTCTCATCAGCAGCCCGTGCTCAGGGTGAGTCCTTAACTCCAGATCTTAACTCATCTCTTGGCTCAGTTTTTAGTGTTATAGGTGTGGGCTGACTGAATGTGTAAGGTGATGTCTTTCATTTTTAGCTCCAGGACTCTGGTTCCAGTAGGTCTGGGGGGTTTTAGTGCTTTTGTGAAGGGATTCTCAGGGACCTCTGCTTACCCAGGGATTAGCAGACGCTGCCTCAAGAAGACCCTGTGTGGAAGTCAGCTCTGCTGATTGCAAACTTTGGCTTTCCCAGTTGTGTTAGAAAGAATTAGATGAATCTGGGATGCTGGGTGGGGGAATTAGGTGAGTCTGGGTGTATAACGCAGGGGGGTGGTGAGCCATCTGTGCTCCTGCATTCCTTCTGGAACAGCAGATTTCACCAAAATCCTTGGTTTTTCTCTTGTAGCTACAAGTGACCAATGTTATGTCCCAGCCACTGACTCAAGCTTCTGTAAAGCTTGACTATGCCAAGTCTGCATCTAGCAAAGCCACTGTCCTTCAACAGACAGCATTTGTTCTGTCAGGGTAAGAATATAATCTTATTTTTACATTTTGTTGGGTAAACAGGGTTATTTAAATAGTGTTGGACTCATTTTCCTTATGTGTTCTCCTGCCAGAGAGATGTTTGTAGGATGGAAGACTCAAATGCTGTAGTTGTGTTTTGTGGGTAACAGATGACTGAGCGCGTTTGGTCGTGATGGTGAATTTCTGTTGCTTTTTCTTCTGATGGAGAGTGGGGAATTGCAGTGTTGTGCAGACTTCAGAGGAACTTTGAAGAATTATTTTCCTGCTGTACTTAGCAATGTTACTTTTGTGCTGTTTAATCTAGCATAGCTAGAGACTTCTTGGTAGCAAAATATTCCCTATTTGTAGGCTGCTGTTAGTGTCACAGAGGATACTTAACAACTTGTTTTTTTTGTTAGAGATGTCTTTGAGCTGAACTTCATGAATGTGAAACCTGCAAGCGGATATTACGATTTCTCTATCAGTGTTGATGGAGACAAGCGATTTATTGCTAACAAAGTTGAGGTGGGTATGCTTTTTGATAGCGTTTTAATTCTGCCTATTCACTGAAACAGCTTTTTATTTCTACCCATTAAGTTGTTGCCAGTTGTATGGCATTTTTATTGCATATGCATAGGATTTTGACTCAGGTTTATGATCAAAATAGATTTGTGTAAATTTCAAAGCTGAGTTTTCACTTAGATGCTGATCTGACAGCAAAGGCCAGCAGTGGAAGTGTTTATATCACAGTCCAAAGTAGCTATGCAGAAACACTTACTAAGAATGTTAATTCTTCAGAGCATTCAAGATTTGAGGTTGTAAATCTCAAGGCTTGGCTAGCAGTTGTTTGGTGTATAGAAGCTGAGCATTTGTTATTGTCCCTTTGTGTAAGCTCTGGGGCCCTAGAAGAGAGTCAAGCGGGTCTTTTGGCATCTCCTAACTGTGTATATGGAGATACTTTTGTAGTTGAGAAACACTGACCAAAACAAATGCAAATGAAGTCTTCATTTCGTGCAGACAGACCCACTTTTTGGTGACAAAAGCTGTTATACCACACCTTTCTGAAGAAAAGTTTTGTATAAACACTTGGAGTTTTACTTTCCTGAAGTTTGTTACAGTGAGAAGAATGTGACCTCTGTGACTGTTCATAGTCACCTCGGTGTCAGCAGCCGAGAATGCTCTTGGCCAGTGATGTCTACTGCCAGCGTTAGCTTTTGCCCTCAATCACCTGTTTAAGGAAAAGATTAGCTTTTGAAGTCTTACAACACAGTCAGCTTGGAGTAGAGGAAGACATTTATTTACAACTGCTGACCTTTACTCGGTGGATCAAAGTGATGTTGTCACTGTAGTAGTAATGGCACTTAGGGGTGTCAGAACGGGATGGATTGGTCCCGCTTCAGCGGGCGCTGGCACACAGAGGCAGTGCTGGGAATGCATTAACGCTGGGGTGGCTTTGTCTGAACCTCTTCTAATAAGACACATTGTTATGGGGGAGGACTGCTGGGGGAGCTGCTTTTTTTTTTTTTTTTCCTTAATGTTATTAGCATTAATTGTCCTTAATGCACCATCGTTTTGACAGTAATGAGCTCAACCAGTGGGTTATTACTCCAGGCAGAGACTGCATTTCCTGGCATTAAAATATTTGAGAGATGTTTGTGTACTGTTCAGTTGGAGGGGTTGTGTGCAGCAGCTCTGAGTTGCCTTCATGTAACTTTTTTAAATGAATATTTCATTAGTCCATCTTTCTTTGCTCCCATCTTGGAACAAACTAAGGCTTTACTAAAGTTAGCCTGGATAATCTGTGTGTTAATGGATCCATTGTCAAGGGTGACCTCTATCTTAAACTACACTTTTTGTTGTAAAGGAACTGCCAAGATTGTTGTGTTTGAAGTCTGACCTGAATAGTTTGGTTTATGTTTTTAGATATTTTTCCCACTGGTTTTCTGTGAATTATTTTTCAGGGTGAGGGTGTGGGGCTGGTTCACATGAGCAAACCTGTATTAACAAATTGTAGTCTATGTTGAAAAATATCTTGGCAATGAAACTTTAATTCTCCAGGGGAGCATTTGTAAGCTGTGAGAACAAATGGGTTAATTAAAAACTACAGACTGCAGTAACTGCTTATGTTTGAGAGAAGGATTGAAATCGGTCAAACCCACCGAGGTTCACTGCCTGGATGGTCTGTGGTTTGGGACTGGGGAGAGGGCAGGAAGTAATTTCTCTGCTCAGGGTTTATACTGCACTTAGCACAAAGGAGGGTGATAAATGGCAGGGCCTTGTTGGCTGCCCTGCACTGAGTGATAAATGCTGTGACTCCAAAAGCAGGCTGGCTGAACAAAGTGCAGGTATTGGCTTTTGCCTGCTGGTAATAAAATCAGCAGAAACCTGTTAGGCTTTAGGAGCCCACAAAGGCATAGCTGGCTGCTGTCCAGAGACCTCTCTCATCTCAGATTGCTATCCAGTAAGCAGAAGTACATATGCACATGCAGCTTTAAGTTGTATCGTGTATGATGTAATCTTTAATAGCTACTTTCTGCTAGTTTAAAAGGAAAACTAGTTGGATCTGGATAGTTGGACTATTTGATTAAAAACAGTTCTCCAAAAGGCAGCTAGCTCCAGCACAACTGAGAAGCTGGTGTCTCCAGAGCTGGCTGAAGGGAATAGGTTAGGGTTAGTGACTGATGCAGGAGCTTTGCCAGAAGGTAAATTATTGTAGATCCTTCTGTTCAGGTTGGGTTCTGTCTTTGGCTTAGTGTAAGACCCTCTCTGGAAAAGGGGAGAGAAGAGCTAAAGCTTCTGCAGTGAACTTGAGCATAATTAGTATATGTAGAGTGCTCTGAGTAATTTTCTGTTGTGTTTGTTGCAGCTGAAAGTGAAAGTTTCCACGGAAGTTGGGATTACTAATGTAGATCTTTCTACTGTGGATAAAGATCAGAGCATTGCGCCAAAAACAACCAGGTAAAGTGATGCTGTGTATGTGATCCGTTAAGGGGCAGCTCTGGCTGCAGACTGGAGGTCTTCTGAGTTCTATCTACTTCAGCTAAACCAGAGGAATCTTGTATTGGAATAACTAGGGAGTTACACCCATGCTGTTTCTCTTAATCCTATGAGTTCATTGGGAGAATGCTTATTATTTTTATAGGTGTTTTTCCTTAATGCTGAAATAAGTACTAAGAGAAGCTAGGCAACCAGAATCTTCTGTTCCTTTGTTGGCACCTCACCATAGCAAGTTAAGAGTTGTGTTATTGTTTGTAGTGTTCTTGGGCTTTGGTAGAGATGCTCTAAGGCAACACGTACACTGTGCTTAGGGGGATGTGGTGGTACCATTGCTATGTGTACTTCAACTTAATGCAGTTTTTTGTGGCTTTTTTTAACTTACACCAGTTAAACTGTAATGCATGATATTTAGTTTAGGTTGCACAACCTCTCTGAGGCCCCTGTGTGTGTGTGTGTGTGTTGATACAGCCTTCCTCTGCTGAAGTTTTGAGTGCCTGTTTTTTCTATTCTGCTGCCATCACACCTTTGATTGTAGCATATCCTTGGCTAAGTGGGATGTGAGGTGTAGTATTAGCAAAACCTTCTTCTGGTGTTCCTTTGAACCTTAAAACAAACAACTGTTTTACTTGAAAATGGGCAAGCTATATAGCTCACAAAAATCATGCTAAAAAATTCCATTGATTTATTTTCATTAAATTTATGGTATAGAAGACAGACATATTAATTTGCCTGACATCTTGATAAAAAAGCTCATCTATGCTGAGTGCACTGCAGTACTGCTGGACAGGCTTGCACGCCTCAGTTTCTTTGAACACCAAACCTTCTCTTGGAAGATTGTTTCAGTTCTGTTTGGTTTTTTTCCTCCTAGGGTAGCTTACCCAGCCAAAGCCAAGGGCTCGTTCACTGCTGACAGCCATCAGAATTTTGCTTTATCCTTCCAGCTGATAGATGTGAACAGTGGAGCTGAACTCATCCCTCACCAGGTTAGGACAAACTTCTGTCATTACAGTATAACTGAGATGTTCCATCTTGAAGCATCCGAGGTGACAGTTGCTCTTTAAAAGATTTGATAGATTTTTGAGAAGCCTTGTATTTCTGATAGGAACTGTGAAAGATCACTGATCTGGCTAGATGGGAAGTGGATTCAGTTCATTTGTTTGGACTCTGTGTTAGTGAAGCCTCTTCTAGCTCTGGTATTTTGTCTTATTTAACTAAATGAGCACAGGTAGTCTGTGAAGCAAGCTTTCATTGAAAGCAGGCTTCTGATTTTTTTAGTATAGGTTGTTTGCTGAAAAAGTCCTTGGATTTAGTCTTTCTTTAAAATTTGTTTTTTTCTGTATAAAATAAGGAAAAAATCTCCATACATGCTTAGATCCCTGTTGTGTGCTGTTGCACATACCCTCTCAAGCAGCATTCAATACATTGCCCTGTACCCCAAGTGGGCCTCTGTTCGTCCTGTGTTAATGTAGTTACTCAAGAGTCATTGAACTTTGCTGATTTGCGGGGATCTGGACACCCCAGCTCCCAGTTTATACTCCAGCTTTTGTTAATTTTGTCCTTTTTGATTTGGGAATAAATCTCTCTCGTTTTTTTGACATCTGTAAATGCACTACAAGATATTCCAGTAATGTTACAATCTTTCCTTTCAGACTTTTGTCCGACTTCACAACCAAAAGACTGGCCAGGAGGTCGTGTTTGTTGCAGAACCAGATAGCAAGAACGTATACAAGTTTGAACTGGATACCTCTGAAAGAAAGACTGAATTTGACTCTGCCTCTGGTACCTACACTCTTTACTTGATAATTGGAGATGCCACTCTCGACAATCCAATCCTGTGGAATGTGGTATGTAGCTGGGAGCGTGTCCATGTGGTTTTGAGATTGCTGGCAGTCGAACAGGAGGGCATGGTACAGGCTTGGGAAAAAAAAAGCTCAGATGTCTTTGTCCTTTGTAGGGAAGCAGAATCCTTGTGCCCATTTATGAACTCTGAGCCTTGCTGTTCATTTTAATTTTTTAAGTAAGCATCAAAGTGAGACTGAAATATTCATCATGTGGTGGAACAGAAACTTCAGAATGTTTATGGGTTTGATTGTAATTTCACAGCAAGTACTTGAAGTTTTGGCCTTTCTGTGCTTGCTATGCTGGAAATAATCCCAACTTAGTGTACTGCCTCTGTTTAGGAGGAATTGCTTCTTAAAAAAATCTGGTGGCTTTCTCTTAGTTTCCATCAGGTAAATCGTAGATTGACAAATAAGGAAGTAGCCACAGTAATGGAATAGGTTTTATAAAACTTTTAATATGTTAAGATCAAACTTCATGAAGCTGCACAATTTCATTTCAGGCTGATGTTGTGATTAAATTCCCAGAAGAGGATGTGCCATCCACAGTCCAGTCCAAGAACCTCTTTGTTCCCAAACCTGAAATCCAGGTACAGTAAAAAACAAAAATTATGTGTGAAGATGGGGGGCTAATTCTACTAATATTATCTGTTCTCATCATAATTAATTTTTGAAAAGTCATCTCTCATTTAAAAAAAATTAATACTGTTTAAATAATGTAATTAAAGGAAGACCAGAGTTACTGCTTAATGGAAAGGTATTTGTTGCAGTCTTCTGGCATATGAATAAATAAACTGTGTCCCCAACCTGCGAGAGAGCAACTGGTGTCACTGGGAAGATTCAAACATGAAAATCTGACTAGGTAGGCACCACAGAAAGCTCTCTGCCTCTGAAGATTTCTCTTGCTTTGCTCCAGCCATCTGTGCTGATGACAAGCAAACAGGTGTTTCTGTGAGTGCAAGGAAAAGTTACCTGTGCAAGAGGTGACACATGCAGAGATTGGAATGGACACTACTTTAAAGAGTCAGCCTTTGCCTTAAGAGGCATGCTTGTCCTCCAAAGGAATGTCTGGAAACAGCACCAGGGATTCCTGATGATCAGTTGGTTCTGTTTGTTTGCAGCACCTCTTCAGGGAACCTGAGAAGAGGCCTCCCACTGTGGTATCTAACACTTTCACAGCACTGGTTCTCTCCCCCCTGCTTCTGCTGCTCATTCTGGTGAGTGACCTGAGCCACAGAAGTAGAAATTTTTTTCCTGTTCAGTCCAAGGTCACTTAGGAGGTTGCCCAGCTAAACTTCTCATTAAAACCCATGGTTGATCATGACTAGCACAGCAGTGCTGCAGTTGCACCTAGCAAATGGCAGCGCAGAGCATTGGTCTGGTATTACCTCTTCCCTAAACCATTTGGTTTTTTGTTGGTTTTGTGGGTTTGTTGTTTTTTTGGTTTTTTTTTTAATTTATAGTCATAACAGAAAAACACTGCTGCCAAGTAGAAGTAAGTGGGGTGAGTTTCTTCAGTGTGCTTCAGTGGGCAAATTAAGTTATAACTAACATTAGACTTTCACAGGGAAAAAAAGAGTGATTCTGGCTCACACTTAATGTATCTATCACAACATCTGTGTTACTTAATCCTCTCAGATTGATTCCCACTTATGGACATAATTGGCATTTGTGTGTCTAGTTGAAACATCTACTGCTACTCACTGCATCATCACATCAGTGTTTGGAACTTAATGCAATACAAAATTTCATCTAGGCAAGTTAAATTATTCTTTATTTGGAGGATGAAACTGATCCCTTACTTGCTTGGCAGTGATTTCCCATTAGCTAGTCTCACTGAAAGCTGGTGTTCAGATAGTCGTGTCCACTGGTCTCTGGAGTTCACAATATACATGTTGATGACATTTTAATGAAAAATCTCATTGCTGCTGCTCCTGTTTTCCATCCTTTGTGCCTTTCTCTTTTGTACCCTAAAAACTGAAATCATTTTTATGAGCAAACATGTTGTATCTATAGCTCTTTTGCTGACTCCAAAACTAGAACTTTTTTTTTTTGTCCTTGTATTTAAAATTAATTCAGCTGGATAGAAATAGCAATGTTGTTTTTTCTGGAAAATGTGGATTTGGAGCAATGCCCTCTCCTCGGTTTAAGAAAGATAATTGAGGAACTGCCTTTGGCCAGTCAGAAGCAGCAGGAGAAATTTTCACTAAAGGAGCTCAACAAGTGCTGTCTAGCAAAATTGCTACTCTTTCCTCTTACAGTAAATAAGTGCTTCTGTAGAGAATACACTGTGTTCACTGGAGAACTTAAAGCAGACAGGGTTGAAAGATACTGAAGTTTAAAATAAAAGCTGGTGTTTACAAGGCTGTTGTAACTTATGTTGTGTTTCTTTTCCTTTCAGTGGATAAAGATAGGTGCCAACATCTCCAACTTCAGCTTTGCTCCCAGCACCATTGTTTTTCACATAGGACATGCTGGTAAGTGTCAGAGGCTTTCTGCTTTGTTTGACCTTCTCACCTGGGAGTTACTGATGAGAGCCCTGGTAGTTAATGGGTTTGTGGTCTATTAACTATAATGACATAATAGCATAACATTTGTGCTGTTGTTTTCATCTGCCTTCCTGCTTTTCATGATTGTTAATATGGTGATAAACCTGTTTTGGCCATCAGCTTATAACAGCGGTCATTATCCAGGCTCCTCTCACACACCATTTATCTGTACTTAATAGAACTTATTTCCAGTGGTCACACTTCCTTTATTGCGTGTTTATCCTTTGTAAGCAGGGAATTTCTGTGGGGATTGAAACCTGCAGGACTGCTATCTACATCTTTTCTTTAAAGCTCTTGTAGTGAAAGCTACTCTTGTTCTTTGGCTGGACTATTATTTTTTTCCCCATCAATTTTATTGTGCCCTTGGTTGTGCAGTTATTTACTGTCTTGACAGAACGTCAAAAACATAGCAAGTTAGGAGAACACTGGATTTACTGTTTCCCAAATGACAGTGTGTTGCTTAATCCAAACCAGTTTCCTTGAAAGCTTTATATATAAAGCTGTAAGCTCCTACAAATGTGCAAATGTTAATATCCTCTGTTGGAATCCAGAGTATCCTCCTCCTTTTAATAGCCCTTAATGTCTAAAATACATCTGTAATTCTGCCACGAGAGAGCTGGTTTCAAGCCATCAGGGTCACATTTTTTTCCAGTACAGAGACCCAGACACTGCCTTCTCCTGGCAATAACGTTTAGTTTTAGATCTGCCATTTCAGAACTTCTGAGATGAGACAGAAACCCAATGCTCAGACCTGGCAGTACAATGTAACGCTTATTCCGAGGATAACAAATGGTTGGTCTTTGAAATGCAATTTCAGGCTTTGTCTTTTTTTCCACAGCAATGTTGGGACTCATGTATGTCTACTGGACTCAACTCAACATGTTCCAGACTCTGAAGTACTTGGCCATTTTGGGTGGCATCACATTCCTGGCAGGCAACAGGATGCTGGCTCAGAAAGCAGTAAAACGGTAAGCCAGGGTGGATGCGTTGGTTGGAGCTGCTTTTAAAAATCAGTGGGAAGGAGATCACACTTGATGCTGTTGTGTGTCAGTAACTGATACAGTAATGAGCTTTTGGTTCTTGGATCTCATGTGTGGGGATGGGCTGCTCAGTCCCACTTTCATTCCCACTGACAAGGGCAATGAGCTGCTCTCTCTGAGATACAGCAAACTGCTCCTCCAGAGAGAATGCTCCATGTGGGCACTTGCTGAAGCAATCAGGCAATCACAGAATCACAGGGGTTGGAAGGGACCTCTGGAGATCATCTAGTCCAACCCCTCTGCCAAAGCAGGGCTACCTTCCTGAAACAATCCTCATCAGCTATTCTCTGAATCCTCATAGCCACAGAGAAAGCAAAGAGTGGAAGTGTGGGCACTTTGACATGGGGAAACCCACATTTGGTGAGACACATTCGCTGGCAACACAGGTTTTACTACATGATATATTAAACTTAGAATATTGTTAGATAATGAAAGCTGCTATCAATGCAGAAGAGGCCCAATTCATCTGTAACTGAGCTTTTGAGGTAAGTTTTAAGAGGAGGAATTGAGAGTTCTTTCTCTTTCTCGATTCCGTGGGTGGTGGTGCA